AGAACTTCTTACAAAGTCATCTAAAGTGAAAAAAATACGTGTTTTACATATTTACATATTTGAAAATTTAGGACAGTATTCTTGAGGTGTTGTAGAATTAAATAATAAAAAATTGAATTTTTTGAAACCCGTAAACCCATGTAACTGCCTAAACTTAGGGTTTACGTAAGCTAATTCTAGTCTTCCATATCTACATTTGTTACTGTGAATTCCTTTAAAAAGTTATAGAAATTGTGTTTGAAAATTGTTATGATATTGGTAGGGAGGGAGAGCGAGACTAGACTCACGTAAAAATATCGCGATTTTTTTTTTTTCAAGAACGCTCTGAGTAGAGTTCGCTAGAGCAGCATGATGCTTAGGAACAAAAACGAATGAAAACCGTAGAAGTCATTCTCAGATTTAGATCTCTGTGAGTTTTTATTTCTCTAATTAAAATATGCCGACCAATATATGCGACATGAATCGAGTCTCGGCGACTCTTTTGCAGACACCATTGCTATGAGATCTTTGAACTGGAAAAAATCGGTTAATATCATATACCGAGAATACGATGGACACTGATGCAAATTTTTCATTGGCTTCACAGATGTTCGGCCGGTGCTTGCCTTTATTATTAGCAGATGCATCACACGCACATTGCATAGGGTTTTAAAATACCCAAATTTTCTTGAATACATCGAAAAAAAAATCTTTTAAGATTTTTAAAATGTGTGTTAACTCCGGTAAAACTTCTTTTAACATTATTAACGACCAAAATTCCCTTTTATACATATTTGCTTTCTTCAAAAAACCAAATCTAGAAGTGTATACGTGTGTCTTTTGAATATTAGGTCTGATTTCTTTATGAAGCAATGTCACTGGGAATAGTTCTATTTTCTCCAAATGAGTGTTAAATCCAAAATCTATATTTTTTTAAAAAAAAAAAAAAAAAATTCAAAATTTACCACTATTTGCTGCTTAGGCCGCTTAAGCAGTCAGTTAACGAACCATTCGACCCAGCCGTAGAAGCAGCCGAGCCCAGCGCGCAAGGCTGCCGAAAGTGGCTGGTAAACAAGTAATCAAACAGTCGGTGTTCGCTGTTACACGCCTACTACATTTCAATTCGAAAACAAAATTCATATAATAAATTGTATGCTATTTCATCGCTTCCTTAAAATAAAAGAGTTAACGCAGTATCGGAAAGGTAAACAAATTTGCATTGTTATTTTGCCCGAGCATTTTGTGTAACAAACGCCGTTGTATTTGTAAGTTTACATTGGCCGTTATTGGTAGTCGATTTGGCCACTTTTAATGTCTCGAACCGTAAATTTATACTTTAATGTTACACACATACATATACATATGTATATATATTTACACAGTTTAATTTAATGTTTGCTATTTCCCAGCCTATGGACATTCGCGTGCCGGAAATCGTGTACAAAATTCGTGACTCCGACAGAAAAACACAAGTGGGCAATTCTGCCTTTTGTGGGGCTCAACTTTATGCCCTATATGTGTATGTTTATCTATGTATATGTAATATTGTAAATATTTATTAAAAATGTCATAACAAAATGATATTGTTAAAAGAGGCGCGCCTTTTTAATAACGCACGTGTCGTGGGAGCGGCGGCCAAATATTGACCAGCCAATCATTTTAATCTATTTTATAGTGTGGGAAAATATATATTCTTATAACTTGAATAAGTTTATTGGCTTATTTCAACAAATTTTATTCAACTTAGTCAATGCCCAGTCAAATATTAGAGTTTTAGAGTTTAGAGTTTCTGGTGAGTTTTCGAAAAGACTTTTGCCAGTCAATTTTTCTTTTAGCTGTTTGGCGCAAATTAAAGATTCCAAGTGTAGCCAGGTCCTCTCTACCTGGTCTTTCCGACGGAGTGGAGATCTTTCTCTTCCTCTGCTTCCTCCGGCGATTATTGCGTCGAATATTTTCAGGGCTGGAGTATTGTCCATGCCTCTGCAGAAAGGGAATAATGATTCCTTTGCTTCTGCCCATTGTTGATGTTAATGTTATTTCCTAGATAGACGAAATTATCTACGTCTTCGAAGTTTTGAAGGTTAATAGTGACGTGTTTGATAACAACAGATATTTCGTCTTGCCCTCGTTCATATCCGAGCCATTTGCTTCGCTTGTTGAGGTCAATTATATCAAAATCATCAGCGTACGCCAGCAGTTGTACATTCTTGTAGAATATTGCACATTCTCTACTCAGCTCTGCAGCTCGAATAATTTATTTTTCCAGCAGTAAGCTGAAGAAGTCCCCTCATTTGGTATCGAACGGCTGTGAGAAGTCCTTCCCAATTCTGACGTAGCTTTTGGTATTGCTCAACGTCAGTTTACACAGGATAGTAAATTCAGACATAGGTGGTATGTGTCGATCTATTTTCCCGGACCTTTTCCAAGATTTGGCACATAATGAATATCTTGTCAGTTGTTAATTTTCCAGGCCTAAAACCACACTGATAAGATCCAAACAGTTTGTTGACGGTGAGCCTTAATCATTCATATAATTTGATAGAACCTTATATGCGATGTTGAAGGGGCTTATACCGCAGATTGTGGGGTCTCCTTTTTTGTGGATTGGTCAGAGCACACTTAAATTCCATCCACCTTCACCGATTATGGAATCGCGTTCACCATCTCCTGATGTTATGCCTTCACTGCCTGACAGCAGGCTGAATAATTTTTATAATTCATTATTTTAGTATGGCTCTAGGCATCAGTTACTAAATCACCTCTTGGGGTTCTACAAGAGTTTTCTTCGGTCTTAAAACCTTCTGTTAGTCGCCGCATCTTTTCGTAGAATTTTCGAGCAATATCCCTGCCGGCCAGCTTGTCAAGCTTTTCGTACTCACTCGGTCTTTTGTTTTTTTTTTTTTTTGTCTGCGAATGCGTCTCCCTTCCCTCTTCAACTCTGCGTACTTGGATTTTCTGAATTTATATTATTATTTTGTTTACCTTTGGCTTAATTAAATTTTAATTGATTTAACGTTATTTATTTAACCCAATTTCACTGAAATTGATTTCAATATAACCTATTATTCGGCAAGCAAAAGACATTTCTTTCATTAAATCAAACTTTCATTATTTCAAAAAGTTCTTTGTTTCAAGTCATAATTATTTTAAGCCACTTACACAAAATTATGTGGAAAAATTTGGAACAGAACTTCACTTTGTAATCGCACGCATGAATACACACACACACATACGCACAATATCATATAAAAGTTGCAACTCATGTACGACAATCAAAATCGGTTCGAGGAAAATCATGAATTGAGCTTATCACTTAAAACCGCAGCGCACTAACATACACACAATGTACTTGGTATGTTTACTTTGTGCGCACAAATGTAAGTTCTGTACAATATGCGCATATGCAAATAGTGAACATTGTACTCCTTTTAGGTTTTGCTGAATTGTACTAACAAAAACAGCAAGCATGCCATTTATTGCTGCTTCCGTTGAAAGCGGTCCGTTTGTCTTGCTACTCCGTCGGCGTCGGTATCGCCGTCGGTATCGCCGTCGTTGAAGTCAGAATTTATTATCGCCTCTGGATGACGCTGGGCTCGCTGGCTGCTTTGTGGGTCGCTAAATATTCGCACTTGTTCAGCACAGCTACAAAGCACTCTTAAAGTAAATCGTCGAAAGTGTGAGCATAAATTATAGAAAATGCGAATAAATGCAAATATGCTGCATAAATATCGGCAATGAACCAAATAGAAAGCTTAAAAAAACATTAAAGAATATATTTGTATTAATAAATGAAAAATAAATAAGATAAAAATGCAGAATTTCATAAATATTTTGGTTTTAATTACAGGACAAGTTGTATAAATTTCACAGTTTAAATTATATTATTTCATGCATTCAAAATATCAGCTCAAACAATTATTCCATTCAATTTTAGCTTTAATTTTTTCGATAATTTAAGGAAATTTTGTATATAACTTTGTATATATTATTTTTCTTAAACATTTTTCTATAAAAGTTATGGCTGATTAAAAATTCGGTTCCGTTCCGGTTACGTAGAGTCTACTGTCGTAGGAACGGTTCCGCAATGTTCTTTTAGCACGGTTTTAAAACTTAAGCATCAATAAATTAATAGAAATATCCATAATCCAAGTATGAGCATATCCAACTCTCCAATTGACCTTATATCGTGGTCTTTAATATTGAATCCATTGACTTCAGATTATTTCCGTTAAACTTCAGGAAATGTCTAGAGCTAGGCTCCTGGGAAAGAATGGAGCTTCGCTTGTGCACTTGTAACGCATTGGCAAGATTACGCTGTAAGCATCTAGGGTCGCCACGGAATGATACACTAGAGGTAGTATCGATAGTGAGGCCGCAGAGCCTGTTAAAATTCCAGTCAAGCTCAGGCATCCTAAAAAATGACTACTCATCATGGACCTAGCAACTGAAGTCCATCTGGTATCGCATAGGACCAAAACTGGTCTATGCGTGACTTATTGGCCTATCAGATTAACCTAACCCAACCCTTCTTGCCTTTAGCAATTATATAATATATGTATGTAGTTATATATAGATACTATATATCGATCAATATAACTATTCACTTAACGGAATGGCAAACCTTGATTAGATCGGTGTAGAGTTTCCCTTAATCTGCAAATACTGAATATACAGCTAACCTTTAGTCCGATTATTTGAAAATATATGCATATGCATGTTCCTGAAAATACAATAAGTGCAAAATATCCCATTAAAAAATGTTTGGTGAAATCTCGAAATGTTTCATACACCCGACGTTTATGCGCGCATTTAATATATTATTTGATTCCCACCGAACTAATCGTTATTTACTTACTTACTGCTTACTATATCAATTGAATTAATTTTCTATTTAATTTCACAAAATTATTAATTATATATACAAATCTATGTTGTATTAATCTTGTTTCCGCTCATTCAATGTAAAAAATGCTTTGTTTCTGTTCATAATTAAATTAAATATTTTCTTTCTCTCTTTAAAGATATCACTTTACGCCTGAGTGACTTCATTGTACACGTGATTGCATCAGACACAAAGGAGACCCTTTCCCACCCTGCCCAAAGTGTGAAACTCAACGTCGTGTGTAAAACTGTGCAGATATAACAACAGCCACCCATTGCCTACATTGCGGAGCCTCCGCATGCATTTCCCCACACCCCACATGCCATGATGCGTTACTCGGAAATATCCAGAGAATTATCGGCGGATAGTTTGGGTTACGTTGAAGTAAGTAATAAAACCGCTAAGACATATTTTATAAACTTTAGCACTTGTCATTGTAAAAATACCTACTTAACTTCACATTTATCCTCATAGCTAGGTGAGGATTATATCTATAAGAATTTACGTGAAGATTCGCCGCGCAGTGACACTCATTCCAATGCTAGCAGCAGTTGCATGCCACTACCAACATACACCGCCAACAATCATCACCAACACCTTAAACAGCAAGAACAGCAACAGTACCAACAACAATTGAATTCACAACACGAGCAACAGCCACAGCATCACCGCGCCGACTACACTAATTCGATGAGCAATTGCGGCCAACAACACGTAGCCGGCTTACGCAATTCCAAACGTTATTCGTGTGGGCGTAACGGTAGTCATGATGGCGCCGCAACCATTTCCTACATGCGTCCACGCAAGGATAGCACACGCTCAACGCAGAGCTGTCAATTCGATGCCGAACAGTTGACGCAAGCAATCGCTAGCAAGACAATGCATGTGAAAAGTAGTCGTCGCAAGAATTCCATCGGATGCCTGAATTCGTTGTCCTCATCGCCGGGCTCGCCGGGTTGCTACTACTGTGTTGGGTAAGTAGCTGCTCATGTAATAAGCTCGTGTGTCATATGTGCAATATATCATCTTGTAAGTTTATCTGTTTAATCATACTGTTTTCTATACTGCTCGCAGCACCGCACCACCGCCCGGCAAGAGTCAAAGTCTGCCCGCACGTTCGTCTATGAACAATTTGGATGCGGTCATATTGAATGCGCTACGCGTGCCGGCTGATGAGTTGGCCAATCAGATTACGCTCTTGGATTTTCCCATCTTCGCCGCCATACAACCGGACGAGCTGACCAGTTGCGCTTGGACGAAGAAGGACAAACATGTCGTCACACCGAATATTGTTGCATTTACGAAACGTTTCAATCACACCAGCTTTTGGACTGTGCAGGAGATATTGAGTGGCGAACAGCCAAAGCAACGTGCCGAAATACTGACACACTTCATTAAGGTGAGGGAAAGTTTGTATAAATGTGGTTAATTTGGATGTACTAGTGAGATTAATTAATTATTGTGATTGTGATTATTAAAACATTAAGCTAATATGGTTAAGGTATTTTTTGTTGTCGTAGTAGCCATTATATAATATATTTTTCAATTAGTTTTTATTAGACTAACTTAGACGGATATAGAGTAATTTTTTTGGTACCTGAAAACAAATAAGTTTCAGTTTATTGGTATTTTGTCGCCCAGGTGACAATCCGACTTCGTACCAACGACGTATTATTGTATTATTGTATTGTATTTCAATAAATACTGCTGAGATTCTGGGCTGGGCTTAATGCCGGTGATATCTATGTAATGTTGTCTAACTGACTATTACTTACTATTTACCAAATTTACAAAAAATCGCAAAAATAATAGCTTTTAAATTCCGATAACGTAAAACCGACTGTTTGGGAATTTTGTAACTGGTAGTTGTAGCGATATAAAACAAATTATACAAATGGTTTTCTAAAATCCTTGGCTGTTTTTGAGCGGTTTAAGTTCAAGTTCAATTAGTTGTTGTTGTTGTAGTAGCCGCATAAAAAGTCTGGTTGTGTAGACCCGACTGTCGTGAGAACGGTTAAGGTTCGTTAACGAGACACGACGAGGAATTTCAGACCCGACGGGTTATTGTTGCTGTTTTACTGGTTACTACTACTCGTTCAAGTGTTTCCATGACATTTGGGTCTTCGTAAATGGATTTTTACGCAGCCAAGAACTATCTATTTCGCAGAACTCTGGCACTACAACAGCAACACGAACGAAATACGACAATATCAGAATTATGGATTGCACGGAATTTTTTTTTTTTTTTCTACCTGCTACCACCCACTTAGTTAACAATAAAAGTAATGTGAAAAGTTTTTTTCATAAAATTTTATATGAATGATTTAATCTATTTCTACAAATTTCGCCTTCCAACAGGTGTCCAAGAAACTGCACGAACTGAACAATCTACATTCGCTGTTTGCCATCATTTCCGCCATGCAAAGTGCCAGCATTTTCCGCTTGAAAAAGACTTGGGCTTGCCTCTCCAAAAAGGATCGGCAAGCATTTGAACGGCTTAGCGATATATTCAGCGATCAAAATAATTGGGAGAATTTACGTGCCTATTTAGAGAGTCTACGCCTACCATGCATACCATATTTGGGTTTATTCCTGACCGATCTAATTTATATTGATTTAGCGCATCCACATAAGGGTGGGCTCGAACCCGAACAACGCCGCAATAAAATGAATAATATTTTGCGCGTCATTTCCAATTATCAACAGTCAGACTACACGCATATAATGCCAATTGAGGCAACACAAAAATATTTGACATCCATACGCTATATTGAGGAGTTGCAGAACATCTTCGAAGAGGATCAATACAAGTGAGTTTATTATTTTTATTTATTTTGTTCGCTATGCAATATAACTACATTTTTTTATTTGCAGAAAATCCCTCAAATTGGAGCCCGCCTCACCGTCCGGTCCGAGTTCATCATCTTGCAGCTCGAAGGAGTCTTTCAATATAGACGCAATCACACCGGCACTGGCTTGCTTGAATCTCTCACCCGCCAAAACGATCGGTTCCATGCGCATCGCCAACAGTAGCGGCACTAAATTCATTCCCGGCCATCGCAAATGTCGCAGCCTGGGCACGAAGTAAGTTCTAAATCGCACACTAGAGGCGTCTCAGTAGCATCGCTCGTCTCACATTAATTGGCTACTTAACAATTGCTATACTAAGATTTGCCTTTAACAAATTAAAAGTAATTTGTATTTGTATTTATATAACACTTGTAATTTTACAATTTGTGTTTTTTTGTATTTCTTTGAAATGCCTTCTCACTAACATCTGTCACCTGCAACGCAAACGTCACACCCATCATGCAATCTTACTTACTTCCTTACTCTCTCTCTCTCTCTCTGTATCTGTGTACTTAACTAACTCACCACCACATCATGCAATTGGATGTACATACAAACATACTTTACATTAAACGTCGCGTGCGTCGGCCAAACAAATATGCGAATGAAATTCTACAACGATTGGGTGCTGCCAAAACAAAAAMAATTTGCTTTAATTCATTATTATTGTTATTATTATTTTGTATGACATTGTCATGTGTGCTGGCAGATTTCGCAGCACAAGCTTGCCGCGAAATTTCTATCACAAATGTCAGTGCTCCATTCTGATGATCGCACCCGGTATTGGCACCATTTCGAATAAGCGTTGTAGATGCAGTCGGTGAGTTTAAATTTATACATAACATTTTGTTCGTATTCCAAATTACAATACCATTTAGCTTTTTGTGCCCTAATTTCACTTTTGCATAATTAATTATTGCTGCTTGTTAAATTTTTGCATTGCTTAACTCATTCGTTGCTAAGCTTTGAAATGTTGAATTATTTCCCTCCTTTAACCTTATTCAATGCTTTATATTAAAAATAACGTTTCGATAATTATTGATTTTTCAAGCGGTTTCTGTTATAAGTAACCTAGATCTCTTATAAGCACGAGCCAATATTATTCGCTTAAAAATTTATATTATGTAAGCAAAAATAAGCTCAGCCATACTTTTCGAGTTCGACGAGGTTCGAAAAACTACTTCAAATACAATATTACAACGTTAAAAATAAATACTAGGGCAACGGGTATCTCCAAACGACTTTAAGAACAGTAGTAAAAGAAGCATACATATATATTTGACACAGGGTTGCAAATTTTTCAATTCAACAATTTGCCAGTAAAAATTAAATCTTTATTTTATTTTATTTTTTCGTGATACGCCAAAAAATTTTAATTCTAAAACAACTAATTTTTTTTTTCAGTCTTAATTATATGCTTTGAGACTAAAATTATTTATTTTTATTTTTTATTCCGGAAGTCGGAATGTGGGATTCATATTTTTTTTTAATCCCGTATTAGGGATTACAAACTAAAAAAAWTTTTATTTCATTATTATTATTTATTTTAATACATTATTTGCAACCCTAACATTTGAATTGTTTACAGTGTGTGCCCAAATATTTAACCGTCCAAGTTCTATGAATTCGCCAGAGTTTCATAAAAATACTTCGTGATCATTTCAAGCCGCTTCAAAACAAAATCAACAGAAAGTGGTTAAAGAGTACGCAAAGTGATTTATTGAACCTCCACTTTGCATATTCTAGTTGTCTCGAACAAATTGTTCTAATTGGAAGGAAAACAATTTTCTCGTGCTTCAATTTGGAAAAAAAATTACGATATTTTTATTATCCCTAATAATTCTGAAATTATCCTGACGTCTCAAAAAATGCTTGTACCGTGGACACTATTGGTTCACCTAAAATCAAAAAACAAAAATATATTTCGTTAGTACATGAATAAATTTAAATTTCCGTTATTATTGGACCAAGGAAAAATATTTAAATTTGATTTTTCACACATTTTGAACGAAAAAAGAAATGACATTGAACAAAGAAGAACATGGCCTAATAGGCGGAACATCCGCAGGGTCTATCTCTTAGAATCTCTTAGAACTTTTTCTTGGACTCAGTTCAAGTTTAATTAGAAACATGTCTGATTGTACCTTGTGGCAAATATCTCAAAAATGTGTACTTTACTTTTGAGCAGATAATTAAAAAACAAAACTTCACAAAACAAACACTTCAACAAGGAACTCTCATCCGAGTTGGACATTGTTTTCAAACATGCTACCAACTATAAGCACACTTTATCGCATCATCCACATAACTACTCGATCGATTCATAGTTTCACAAAATGGACAAAAATTCGCAAGGGACCCCTGGACGGCTAGAAATTATATGTTTATATTATCCGTAAATAAACATGACCGCCTCTAGCTGTTAAATTCACGTCATCCCTATTAGTAATTGGCATCGGAGTTGTTTCCACCATGTGTTCCAAAAGGTCCAAGCTAATAAAGTATCATGAAATTTTGACTTATGTAAATAGTCAATTAATTCATAGTATGAGGTTATTCACTACAACCATTCAATTCGAAAAAGTATACTTATACAGCCACAAGCTATTTCTCCGACAGCTGCCACAAAATCAAAGCCCATTACAAAGGTGCTTCTTTCTGTAAATATATTTCATGTAAATAAATAAATATATCAATTCAGAGTCGAAAAAATTTGGTTTCATTATCTGGCTTATTATATTATATATTCCCTAATAACGCCATTTATCGCACTCCTCGCACCGAAATAGACATTTTTAAAAAGAGAAAAAAAAAGAAAAAGGCACCAATAACTATCTTAAAAAATGTCTAAAACAAAATTTTCGTTTTATTATTATAATTAAGTAATTGAAAGTCTAACAAGACAAAGCGTTTCTTCTGTTTTTACTTATATTATTTAAATAATCTTTTTTATTTCCGAAAGCCCAGCACGATTTATTTCTTTTTATTGTATTGGTAAAACTATGTTGTCTGCCTTAAAATTTTTACTTTTGTTTTATGCGGCTTTGACTTATTTTACAGTCAACCAAAAAAGTTATAAAACATTAGTTAAATTACTCAATCAATTCAAACCTTCAATATACAATAATATGCCCCTTTCTTTTGACGAATGTTGAAGTTGTATATGTATATTTTTATATAATGGTTTTCATTAGGTTCCATTTAATTTTTTAGTATTTGATGATATTTATCAAAACACACTTGTCGTTTCCTTTCTAGACATTTCTAGAACGATTAAAAACTAATCCATTGCTTTTTGCATTAAATTGAAGATTAACATAATTAGACATATATGGGCTAAGTATGTACCGTTTTGTTTGATGAGTAGTTGCTATTTTCAAGGTAATTTTAATATGACACTCTCCAAACAAACCACAGCTCTATTGTCAATAAAGTGGGACAGTCGATTTTTACTTTTTTCTCTTGAGGCGAATTTTTCAGGAGCGTACCAAGTAAGCTTAAGTAACTGCTGGCTAATCATTCTTGATGTATGTGGCCTGACATTGTTGTGGTGTAGCATAATTCCTCTGTCCTTTGTCGCTTCTGGTCGATTGCTTCCTTCAGACAGTCCAATTCTTGAGTACAGGTCTGAGTTAGGTGCTTGGCCTGTAGTAGCTAATATTCAAAGATTCCCTGTCACTTCTATGTATCATACACCTTCTGACCTGACTTGCCACCATTTGCGCCGCCTAACCGCAAATCAACCGCTACCGTATTTGAGTGATGTTTTCGTAAGTGACCCTTTTAACTCCTCCAGTAACTATTCGCTTCAGAGATTTATCTTTTTTTTTATACTCAGCTCTTTTTATATCCAGATTGCAAAAACAATTTTATCGTTTAAATAAAAGAATATATTTAATAGGCTCTATTATTATACAATTATAATAATATTCTTATAGCCGTACATATACTTAGTTTAACTTACTGTATACTTTTGTAAATAGTTTCTGTTAAAACTTTGTACAAAAACAAGTTTTATTTATTTCTAAATTTTGAAAACATGTTTCCATATCAAACTAATCATTTCTTCCTTCCACTACCATTTTCAGCATTTTCGGCAAAATCACACATTCGCACAACGACAACGCCAACTATGGCAACCCCACACTAATGCTCGGCTACGGTGACGAGCACTACCTGCACGATTACAGTGTGCTCAGCCAACAGCAAGCGCGCCATCTACTGGACGACTCAGTGCTGGAGCAGAGCAGTAATATGTTGAGTAGCGGCGATGCCACTTCGAATGATAGCGTTGAAGGCGCACTTTGCCACAACAGTGATTTGGAGCTCATCTATGCGCCCACGCTCGATCCCGAGAATTGTGTGCAAGGTTGTGTGCGTCGGAAGACGGTGCAAAAGGAGGGTCGCAAACCCGCTGTGGCCTCTTGGCAACGCTACTGGCTACAAATTTGGGCCAATTCGCTTGTGTACTTTCCGCCCAAATCATTCAAAGGCAGCGAACGTAGCGACTTCAAGCGCGAACCATGCAAAGTGTGTCCGCTCGAGGGCTGGTTCGCACAAGTCGTCGATAATACGAAGCATAAAAACTCATTTGAGATTTATCATCGTACATTGGGCACAATCTACAAGTTTCGCACGGATAGCGCGCAGGCGACACAGCTTTGGACCGCCTCTATTTGCAAGGTGGCCATGCAACGTAGCGCGCCCAAACCGCTGCCCATCAATTTGATGTCGTTCGAGTGATTTGAAATGGCAGACGAGGGTTGTGGCATGCTAGTGTCGGGGTGTTTGATTGTGCTAAAATGAAATTACGACAAATGCAACGGGTAGCGGTTACTTTTAAATATTACAACGCCGGTGACGCGCTTCAATGGATTTCCAATTGCTCTGAAATCGTGTTCAGCATGAAATCCCCGCTCTATATACTCTGCTTGGTGTAGCTTAGTTTTCACACTCAACGCTTGTTTAATTTTTGTTGCTTTCATTTAACTTGTCTACAAATTACTCGAAACATAGCAGAAACAGCGAGCCTCATATGAAAGTTGGTGAGCAGACAGCACATCATTTTACAAACGAGAATTAATCCTTTAAAGACTGATACTTGTCCGCATAGACGGACGTAACGAACTCAATAGAGACTCAGTGAAAACTCAACCGAAACTCTTTATGGAACAAAACGAAAGCAACTTTCTTATTGTAAGAATACTTAACTTTTTTTTTCTTGCTGAGGATTTCTGAAATTGTTTACTCGAAATTTTCATAAAACAATTTTGTAAGGCATTTTAACTGTTACTCACATATACATTTGTACTTATTTAATAAAGCAAGTGCTTGTTAATGGTACGGAGAGAAAGGTCGATAGAGAGTGAGGTTTTCAATATGTATTTTTGAAAGTAAATATTTCACAGAGAAAAAAATTATATGCGTTTACAACTAATACGCCGCAGTACAATTTGAGGTAATGAGAGATTTAAAATATGTGTTTTTTAAGAACAATAATTGTAGCTGAATAAATATAGAATAGTTTAAAATAAAAAGATTACTGTTTATGGTCATCGGAAATAAGCGCTATAAAAATAAAAATATCCGCAAACTGCCTTAAAACAGTTTGTTGCCTTAAATTAATGTTAATAATGTTTTTTGCGAGAAAGAGTTGAATGTGAATTTGTACTTGGCGTTTTTGCTTTTGACCACTGTATCAAGCTTAAAAAAATACGTGGTTTATTTAAAAAGCTAGAAAATCTAAATATAATGAAATTTTTGTGGACCTGTAGATTTTATATATAGTTTTGAATAGATTGTGTAACTCTTTGTCATACAAGTACATCCACTAGAATTATAATAGTTATATGCAGATTGAAACTTAAGGCTTGTGGTAACTCAACTTAAGTTCTTTATAAGAACTTAATTTTTTTTTTTTGGCTCGAAAAACTTATTTCTTATTATTATTTCCTTAAATATTTGCGTTGCTTTTAAAACTTAATTGAATTATATTGAAAGAAATTCTCTTGAAATAACCATTATTTGCAAATCTATAAGAAATATATTCTCCACTTAAGGAATGACTATCTCGGCACAAAAAATACGCCATTAACACAATCTCTATTACTTTTCCAACAACATGTATGTACATGTAGTATGTTAAAAAAAAAATTGGAAATTATTAAAATTTTAGGCAAATTTTTTCATACAGAATTATTATAATTTATACTGTATTTCTCCGCTCTGTTTCTCTCCGTTATTCAGTTAAAATGCCCAGTAAAATACATGTTTTATTTAGTTATTAATTTGCTTACGATTAACTTAAAATTAGTATTACAATTAATTAAATTACGATTTACTGTTAGTTCATACAACGACTTAAGATTTATCATCATACTTTGCCTTAGCGCTTTGCGAATACTCTCTTTAACATACATACATACTGTATAAGTATATTCTGTAAGCGTTTCACGTACTATGTACCACAAATGTAACTGTTAATTACTCCTATGTATTAGTTTTATATGCAAAAATCTAATTGTTAGTTGCTTAGTTATAATACGCTCATGTTATACATCACATATTTAATATAAAAAGAATTAGTGTACATTTAGCTTTAAATTCAAGAGAAGCCTAAACAATTTGTTCCAATGCAAATATGTCTTTGCCGTGGAGGCAAACGAGCTAAACTGAAATTAAGCGGCACTTTTAAAGTATACTTTGTTGCTAAAAATCCTATTGATGGCAAAATTGAATCATTAAAGTTGAAATGTTGCAACAGTGCCTCATTAAATGTGAAATATTGCAACGATGCCTAAAAAAGTTGCTGAGTAATGCTTAGATTTTATAAATATAAGTGTGAATTTGCAATGGGAACTCGAGTTTATCGTTTATGTCTCCTCGGCGTCGATATGTATACACATGAAATCACAAAGTTCCATTAAAACCAAGCCAACATACACACACATCTATATGTACAATGAAACAATTAATAAATAAATTTGAAAGTCCACAAAAAATTGTAAAATTAAATTCTTTTAAAATTAAAATAAAGAGCAAAACTAAAATCAAAATTACATCAAAAGCACCATATTTATATGTATTATACACTCATAAGCACACACACATACTTAAAGTGCATAAATACATATATATATTTATACATTGATACAATTATTTATTATTTCACATAAATCAAATTGATGCGATTCTATTACATACATACATACAAAATAAAAATATAGCGCTATATAACAAACAACGTATGGTCATTGCATATATACATATGTATGTTTGTACTAGCTGTTATTTATGAATGTAATTGCATGTTAGCATTGTTTGTTGTTTTTTTTTTTTTGTTATAGGATTGTTTTTTACTGCTTTTTCTTAGCGCAATGCTTTAAAATACTGTTAGTTTTGCCTACCTACGATATTAATGATGCATATGTATGTGCGCTGCAAAGTAAACTAAGTTTTTTATAATATACATACATACATTAATACATACATACATTTATTACAATATATATTTAAATAAATATGATGCAAGTACTCTCATATAAAGGATGTTAAGCGTAAAAGGAACAAAATCACAAAGAAAAAAATTTAAAAAGCCATTAAACGAGAAAAGAAAATAAATAAAACGATTTATAAAGAAATTAAAATATTGTAGTTTCTCTTTAAGTTGGTTTGGCGTGATTATGACACCAGAACAATAGCAAGAAAGGTAGCTATCATTAAAAAAATTTCAAATATTTTAACAAGGATGCGTATTGTGTGAAAAATTAAACCCCACAACACGAAAAGAAGCTGCCTTTATGCCGCTATTTCTGCATTTGGTATACCCGAAAAACTAACACGGCTGTGTAAACTGACCTTGAGCAATGCTAAAAGCTCCGTCAGGATCGGTAAGTATCTCTCTGAACCATTTTAGACTGGATAGCTGGAAAGCAAAGCAAATCGGCCTCGTAGTGAACGGTAGCAAAACGAAATATCTTCCATCATCAAACAAATAGTCGTCGCCCTCGCGACTTGGCTCACTCTTCACTGTTGACAATCATAACTTTGAAGTCGTGTTGCTGTTGTTATAGCGGCAGAATTCTGCCGAGTTGACAGTCTTTGGCCGGATAAAAGTCCGAGTCCGGGCTTTGAAGTCGTAGATAATTTCGTCTATCTTGGAAACATCATTAACACCAACAAAAATATCAACGTTGAAATCAAACAGAAGCACTCTTGTCAACAGGTGCAACTATGGACAGGCTTTGGACTCTATAAACAGCTCTCTTCCTCATCATTCCCGTTCTGCTATATGGAGACGGAGGCAATAATAACATCTGATGAGTTGTCGTTAGTAGTGTTGGAGCATTCGCATTGGCAACGACGAAAACCGAAGTCTGTGAAAAGCTGTACGAATATATAGCGGCATGGCTCAACGAAACAAAAGACAGCGGCTATGCTGGCATGATCATGTTGTCCTTCTTGATGAGAACACTTCAACTTTGAAAGTATTCGATTCAGTACCTGTAGGTGGAAGCAGACATACATACATTCCGCTGGTGAGATCAGGTGCAGAAGGACCTAACTGCACTTAAAATCTCTGATTGGCGCCAAATACCGAAGAGAAGAAACGATTGGCGCGATGTTGTTAACTCGGCTATACCTGGGAAGCCGATGAATATTTCCGAAAGATCGATAACAAGACAAAACTTCGACCTAATCCCCGAACAGAAGTATTAATTTTTGAGGAAAGAGTGCTTAACAACTTGTTAACTATTTACCTTTCCCCATTGGCGGGTACTTCCAAAACAGGAGAACTACTTAAGTTATCACTAGAAAGACAAAATCTTCATTCATTATATTCTACATTACCAGATATTATTGGAGGCTAAGCGGAATAATAAACGCTCTACTGGTTCCAGTTAAATAAATAACAATGGGGTATCATATTGCTCGATACCTCGGCATTCTGAAGAAGTAACTTCCTTAATAACACCGATTGTAACTATGTTAGAGAAAAGTTCGACGACTGAAAGTGCGGAACATAATAGCTGAGGCAGACTGCGCAGGTTATATCCTGCATGAAGTATTGAGAAAACTGACCGATGGTTGCCGCAATTATTTACTCTGAATAACAAGCACAATCGTGAAACAACTTCACTCCAGTCTTTTGCGTAATACACAACCAGTATAAGTTTTTGTGCCGTGTTTGTCACCGTCAACAAACAATGGATATACGGATCTATACCAGAGTCCAAGGAACAGTCGACCATGAGAACGTACTCTTACGAATTGTTACATGAACCTCACGTCGATTTCGTGATTAATAATAGTTAGTTAAATATGTGAGTCAAATTATAGATGTCTGTGCACTTTTGGAATAACTAATTCATCGGATTTTATATTTTGTTTAATACCTTTAACTTTCTATTGCGTAAGAGCTAAAATCGAAACTTTAAATTATTTTTTTAACTCTTTCTTCAAATTGCATTGACGCTGCCTCCATTTATATTCGTCTTGAATGTTAAATTCGAGCTCACGGTTGTGAGATATGTTCGGAATATTTATTTACTTTAGTCGGCACCTGTTATAATCGTCGGCAATTGTGATTGAATATGCAGATTCACGACAGACTGAGATCTTTGCAGTTTATTTGGTTGTATGCAAAATTTGCAGGGACATGATTCCTTGCTTTCTAAATATTTCCACGGTGCCTTGTGCAGTTAAGTAAAGAATATAAGTTTAAATATAGTCGAAGTGTTGATAGTTCCATAGTACTTCCGAGCAAAAAAAGCTCCTCACCCACTTTGCTCTAATATGTTGCGACCGCATAACATCGCTACCAATCCGTATATTAAAGTTGAGACCTAGAGAGAACGAAATATCTTAAAAAAGAACTTTCTGAGTTGCAGTGAATTCTCCCTATCGCACTCTTACTGTTAAAATTCATCAAAACTCTTATTCCAGGTTAAACATTATTCTTAAAATCGAAATTTTTGAAAAAAAAATCCTTCGATCAGTCCCAAGTTTATTATGTAATCTAAAAGTTGAATAAATTTCATTAAAATCTACTGATCGGTTTTCGAGTTACAGTTGTCACCTGTTCAAAAAACATAGTTTTGAGAAAAACGAGTTTCAAGTGTCACATTAGCGCCTTGAAGTGCCCTTTGTTATTTGTCGAATAACTCAAAAACTAATTATCGGATCAACGTGAAATTTTCAGAGAATATTTTTAAGATATTAAACTTAACGAAAATGCAAAAAAAAATTTATTTTTTGAAAAAGTCTGACTACATCTAACCACTTAAGGAAAATGATATAGCCGATGCTATGTCAAGGAAAGGGCCACTTATCATTAAAGCAGAGGTCCAAAGAAAATAAAATGTGAGAAGTGATCGACACTGGGTACAAATATCTGAAATTCTCCAAGCAAAGCAAGTCTTTGAGGGCTTATAATTAAGGCCGTTGGTGCGACTAACACTGAACACTACATATTAATGTGTTACATGCATTAGATTAAGATCTGGCCCACGGAAAACTATCGGCAATGACACCAAAGTAACTTTTCTTTGATTACCTTGTAAGAATAAAAAAAGAGGCAAAGTCGTCGACACTATGTTGTCCAAAAACTCCGTTAATCTTATTTAAATATTATTGTACTGGGTACTCAACGGTTAAAAAAATCTATCAAGACTGTTTGACTACAGTAAAATATTATTTTTTCTGTTACTGCAGGTACCTATCGTAAATATTATACATTTATACAAATATGGAGCTAGTTGTAATTGTCGCCCCACCTATTGCATGCATCGAATTCTTGATTAGGCGCGTAGCTCGATAAGTTCCATACAAGACCTTTTATTGAGTTTGTTTCCGACCAAAACAGAGAAAAAGAAATGGCATTAAAAAAGCTGACAGTAAACAAATGCGCACGCGCAAATGGGCATGTATGGTATGTATCTACTCGCCCTCAAGGGGGGCATATGTAAGCATATCGTCTCACACGTATAAAACCATTTAAGTTTAAGCGACGTAATAATGCAAATTGACGAAGCTTTGTACCACTTTTCAATGCATCTCCGAATTTAAATGCACCGTATCAACTATAAACAGTTAAGCGTATGTATGTAAGTACGAATGTGTGCATATTTTCTTTACTGGCAAAAATCGGAAGTGGTATTTAATGCGACAAAAGAAAGCGCCGGCGTTTTATAATCAAATGAGACTTTGAGGTGTCTGGTGTGTTGATCGATTTAGTGGACTCATTATAAAAGAGTATACTCTTGCAAAAAATCATAGGAGGTGGGATTAAAAGTGAAATAATTAAGAATGGATACGAAAGTGAGTGCCGATCAATTGTCAATAATTAGAAAAGAATGGTGCTTGTGTATATGTACTTACATGGTTGAGTAAAAGAATATATTCAAAGTTATAAGTGATCTTAATGGCTAAGTATTGTCGAGTGAAGGCTTTCAAAACACTTACATTTTCACCGAATAGTTGTTTGTAGTAGGGTAATCTTTTTGCAATTTTTTTTTTTTTTTTGCATTTGCAGTTCCTTCATACCCTTGGAATTAATGTAGAAACCCACTTTACCAATGGAACGTAAACCTCAAACTTCAACACACACTCTGTTTTAAACTAACGGACATGATTTCGATCAACCGATTTGCTTAATTATTTTTTTTAATCTTCACAAAATGACGGGCTATCGTCCTTATATTTTTTATAATTTATTGACAATGTTATGACAAAATTTATGTAAAAAACATAGGGAAGAATAAAAAAACGTTTTTATTTATCAAACTTTTTTTCGTGATTCTAGTAGGGATGATAACCATTCACGTACTTTTTAAGAATAAAGGGTTTTTGTGTTTCAGATGATCCAAACATGAACAATTGTGTCCACCAGTGAAAAAACTCATCTCCGACAGATATCATCAAACAATGTTTA